CCTAGGCTTTCAATACTAAAAAGGATTGCGTGGTGGTCTGATCCAACTCCTGGTATAGTTTGCCAGTCCTGGATTTTGGCAGCTATATTATTGGTTGCAAAAGTAAGATCTAGTACGCTTTCTTGCCGCATATTTACTCGAAAAAAAGTGCCAGTCCCTAGAGTATTTAGTAGAGAAAGGTTTTGGTTGTCTACCCACTCTACTAGATCCTCTGCTTCTTGGTTTGGGTTTTTATCCTGTAGGCTCCATCTAGGGTGGTGGGTGTTAAAGTCCCCTAGTATAATTGAGGAGGGTTGTAGAGTCTCTTTGAGTAGGCGCCTTTAGATTGTTGTCTTGTTAAGCCCTTCTTTTAGGCTTTTTTCGTTATAAATGTTATATATATAGATCCTGGTTGAAGAGGAGAGTATTGTAATAGCTTGTAAATCGTTGTCGTTGCTAATATATAGGTTGACCTCTGCATCTATGTCTTTTCTGATATAAAAGAGCGTTCTTGGCCTTAACCCCTTATAAGTAGGGAGTATTTGAGTAAAGTCTTGGTGGGCGATTGATCTAGTATTCTCGTAGGTATGTCCCTTTAGTAGCCAGGGTTCCTGTATAGCGATAATCTTGGCGTTTACTTAAATAGCTAGATTTAGAGCGCTCTCTGTAGCAGGGCTACTTCTATTAACATTTATTTGTAGGACTTTTAACATTCTAGTTAGAAGAGGTAGTAGTCCTAGATGTCCTAGCTTGTAGGATTTCGCAGTTTTGGCTGTTGGCTGCGTAAGGCTTGCTGCAATTTACACACTTAAAGATAGTGTGAACGCAAGGCTTGCCTTTGCTTAAACAAGAATTACACTTGTGGAGGCTAGTGTAGTGGGCTTCGCTGCAGATCTAGCAGGCTACTTTAGAGCATTTAGCCTCTAGGTGCCCAAAACCTTGGCATTTAGAGCACTATTTAGAGTTATTAATAACTCTTAGTTTCTCTGCTCTAAGGCTCTGCCCTAGAATATAGAGCTTTCCTCTAATAGCTCTTTGGGCTTCTTGTTCTGTAGCAAAAGCTACGCAGGCGGATCCAAAGTTTTGGTTTCCTCTTCTGGATTCTAGTGTTAGCCAAAAGGGGTTGCCTACTACCTTTAGGCCTTTATTGAAGATTTCAATTTCCTCCTTTAGGACCTCTAGGCTATGGTTTGTTGGTAGTTTATGGATAACTACTTTGAACCAAGGGGTGATTGGTTAGGCTGCTTTAAACTCTGTGATATCCTTCTAGATCTCTTGGTTTTCTAGAAGGTATTTTGCTGAAAAAGCTAGGGTAGTAGTAACTATTTTATTGCCTTTTGCTAAAAGTGTTACTAAGGCTACTACTGGGGATTGTACCCCTCCCTTTGTTGTAAAGGCTTTGTTGAAGGCGTTTCTAATTTTTAGAGCGTCGAATGCAGTAGGTATATCGCTAACTACAACAATTTGGCGATCTAATAGGCTAGTAGTCTTTTTTTAGTTGTCTTTTTAGGTGTTTTTTTCTATGTGTTTTTAGTTTTGTTTTTTTTAGATATATGTCCAAGGTTGTTCTTAATTACTAGCTGCTACTGTTGCGTAGGAGCTAGGGGGCTGAGCTTGAGGTTAGGTGGGCGGGGTATTTGGTTTTTCAAGGCGTCTAACTTTCTCTCTTAGTTCTTTAGAGACGTTAGATAGAGAGGAGATTTAGTCTCCTAGAATTGTAGAGTTTTTCTTGTTTACTCTGCCATTCACTATAAAGTCTCTAAAGACTTCTACAAGGTCTAGTAAACTAGTTTGCCTAGTAGGGTTGTTTTTAGCTAGGTTAGCTGCTTAGATCACTAGGTTTCTAGCAATCTCTAAGGCCTCCTCAATAGAGGTTGCCTTTGGTGTTTTCCCTACTGTAGGGTATCTTGGCACTGCTCCAATAAATGGAGAAAAATTACTCCTTGTCCTAGTATGGGTAGGCCTAGGCGGTTCTTCTGGTTGCCTGTTAGGGCAAGGCGTAGAGGCCTCCTCAGCCATCTCGATTTCTGGATTATTATCCATTAGT